ACAGTAATGTGTAAAATGACAATATTTTGTTCCGCGTATATTTAAACTGTATTCAGCTTAACAGAGCTATCCAGTATTTTATTTTGAGATGAAGTATATTATGGCCATCATCATCCATACCTATGTAATACCCTCATGTGCAAAGATGAAAATAGAACAGGTTTGAAAACGACATTCATTCAGCGTAAACGTCTAATTCAGTAATTGGATTAAAACATGAAAAACTATTGAGTGCCTTCATCCCAATATGCAGTCTTTAAGTTGAACGAGTGTGTATAGCTGGATATCACATCAATGTACACTGGACCGGATATTGCTCTATGACATATGCATTGGTGCATCTGCTCAAATTTATTTTTGAATTTTTAAAAAAAGAGACTCCCCTGAGGGCAGAGAGAAGAGAAAATGATATTTACAAAATACATAAAGGCTCCAATGTGTGTGTTATCTACAGTGAACTAATTTGAACATGGCTTGGCACGGATCTGGCACTGTGGCTAAAGTAACATTATTTACATAAAAGTCCATATTATAAATATTTTCTTTACATATAAGGGGAGTGTAGTAATCTCCGATCATACTTTCTGCTGGGTGGCACCTTGGTTATAGCGAATGGCTCACAATCAGAAAGTTGCGAGTTCAAATCTTTATGGGACTGGCTCATACCTGCAATGAGAATGTGGAATGTGCAGCATTGGCTGGAGATGAGTATCACCCCTCACTCATTTAACTTTTTAGTTTTCAGGAAAATGCAGAGATGATAGTCTGTTCTCATAGACACCGCATTATGGAAAAATAGCATTCTAATAATTCAGAAATAATATAGGGTAAAGCACAGTCCGTGTATCCAGGCTGAACAAAGACTGAGGTGTGTGGGTAGGATCTAGAAGCATCCAGCAGCATCCCGCCTTGTGTGGTGCTACGCTGAGGTAGCCGTACTACCGCTTATTCCTACTCGCGCGGTGTAGTTCAGTTCACTCAATTGCGTTATATCCATTTCACATCCATTTTATTTAAAAAAATGTGTTTCCTAATAGATTAATGACGTTATATCCACTTTAAGTTATGAAAACATTCACTATAGAACAGACTATATAATGCATTAAGCACCACGACTGTAAAATACCTCTTATCCAAAGTGATGTGGAGGTGTTAAGAGCAGATCCTATTATCCTTGTTTATCCAAAGAAATCACTCCTGTTCTCCACAGACAAATCCAAATAAGAGAATATATTTGCTGATAATTGCAGGTGAGTCCTTTTATATGTGCAGCGGTTTAGATCATAAGAATGACTTATTGAAATAAACTTGCAATCACAGGATGAATGTTCTACCATTTCCAAGTGGCTCATATTACTGTATCTGTGAAAGAGATACTGTAACAGTAAATATCCACAGATGGAGAATACAATTCTCTGCAGGTTCATGGAAATGTGCATTATAAGAGTATTGGATAATAGGGCCTCATACAAGAGGCATTTGGCTTCATTTGCAGAACTACATTTTCTTAAAACTACAGGTTTGGAATATACAAATGATTACAACAAAAATGTTATAAAATAGATCTCCCGAAAGTCACAATTATCTAACCTTTTTGAGGAAAGAGGCTTATAGGGTTACTTTTTTCCACAAGTGCTTATGGAAGAATACATTTTAGAGTATATGTGCAAAACCAAAGTCAAGTACAACAAGTTCACTAAATATAATATAGGAAATGTTTGAGAGACACGACTGGAAACCAGAGGAGAATATATCTGCCGAGGGAAGTGATTCAAAAGCGTTTGGGAGCGTTTGGGATCAAAAATACACTTCCTGAATTTGATAATGAAAAGCAATATACCAATGTGCCTTGAGAAGATTCCATTAATTGCCTGCTTACACATATACATCAGAAACAAGGCCACTGACAAAGAAAATGGAACAAAATATTTAAAAATGTACGCAAAAAGTGTGCGGAGAAGCGTGCTTTGAATAAAATTGAGAAATATAAAGAAGAACAGAGATCGGAGAATAAATCCACATCAGCCCATTAAGGAAAGTAAGTGGGCGTGGGTAGGACACATCACTGTGATGATGGTAAATGTACAATATTGATAATGGAGTGGCAGCCAACGGAGAGAATGTGCCTGAGGGCACTGCCATCGCAGATATGGAGCAATGATGATAGTTCACATGTAGACGTGAGATGGACTGTGGGATCACCAGGACCTTGAGAAATGGTGACGCTATTGGCAGGCCTTCATCCAGCAGTGAATCAACGTGGCTGATCATGATGCAGATGAAGAATATGCATAAACATGTAAAAGTAATAGACACAATGCAGCATTACTTACATAAAAACAAATCTGAAACATTACTGTTTTATACATGACAGGGCAGATGACCCCAATTTCACTTATCTGACATTGTGCTGCAAAATTTGTTTTATTTTACTGTGATCCACCACCATAAAATCTCCAAGTACACAATTTGACAACGGTTTATTGCATTTGCATTTCAGGCCATGTGACCTCAATTTGACATAGATGATGCACTTTTTGTCTTCCTGCTTTTGTGTTTTCCAAATCTGACAAGAGGTGTCCCTTGCTCTGTCATGTGACAATACTCTACTATGAGCAGTACACCGTTTATCATCGGCATACCCTCCAGGAGAATACAATCAAATTTCGTTAAGCATAGCGTCAAAATACAAAACCATATTTATATGCTGGAACATTAAAATGCATTGGATTTACACGCACAAGTGCATTATCCCATATGTGAGGATATCCATAATATGATGGCAACATACCAGCCTTCGCATTATGAATTAGCATATATGGAATGGTTTTTTCCTTTCTATATTTTATTAAGAAAGCAGAATTCCACGATCTAATGAGTTCTGCGATCATAATGTGCACTATGATTGGATATTGTGAATAATTTAACACTGGAATTACAACACAGTGTGCAGATTGACTGACTTGACCGTGTCTAAAAACAGACTTGTCTAACAATAAAAGTAAAATCCACGCTCATAAAAGAGAACAACGTGTAATTTGCATCACAAAAGAGGAAAAAAGCTTAAAATATTTTGCTAGATTTATGGGCGAAGCCATTGCCTCTGCGGTAAGACGGGTAACCTTGGATTGGGGATTGTTCAATCACATCGACCCACGTGGTATGCGGCCAGATGGCCCACGTTAATAGGTGTAGACTGCCCTGTTGGCATTGTGCATTGGAAAGGCGTCAGGTTTGTGATGTAGATTTACATTTTGTGAACTATTGAGTGTAACCTGTCTGTGCCCTAGATATATTTCTTTTGGAGATGAATGCACGGCCACGTCTGTGTTGGCACTTGCATGTTTAATGTTTGATATTTGAGTGTAAATTATGCTGACAAAATAAAGCTTGACAAAAAGAGGTTGTATACCACAGTAGATAGCTCATTGCACTATGAACCCGATGAGTTTGATTCCGGGCCATGGTTTCCATCAGTGGCGAGTGATATATGAACTAATCCTGGCTTCACCCTTTCCACCCCATCAATTTGTACTGACCAGTCTCGTGGAGAATGGTCAAACAACTTCACTGAAAAACGTGGCATTGGGAGGCATTCATCCAACAGTGGATTAACGAAGGGCTGTACACATTCACATGCACAACTGTAGACATTCTAAAGGATCCATCTCGCCGTGCACATGTTCCGCATTGAAGTCTGAAGTTGCAAGGATCCAGAGAGATTTGCAGAAGTACATTGGGGGAGGATTAGATGGAGTGGTAGGCATGGTGAGAATGGGGAGAAAATAGAGGAAGGTATTTGGGGCGGGTGGTGGTGAGTGGGTGTTGGGTGTGATCCAGGGAAACAATGGGAGGGAGGAGGGTGGCATTAGGGACTTGAAAAGGAGCAAGCTGTGGTGGTGTATGGGGGATTGTTCTGGAGGGAGGCAGCTCAGGCCATTGACTGCCACTCAGCCCGATGTGCCAGGTATTGTGCAAAAAAAATCCATATGACAGATGGGATGCACCCGCTCCGCTCCGCTGTGAATCTGCAAAATCGCTTTTGTAGTCTTGGCAGTGAAAAGCAAACGAAGGCGCGTAAATAAATGACACTCATTATGGGACACGCAAATTCGCGTGCAAATGTTGCTCTGGAATAGGTGTTGACAGGTGACAACTGAAATGTGATTCTTCACATTGAGTGAATGTGACATGCACTTCTCCAAACCTTGGAAGCATAACGACCCTGTGAGCACGACGAGAGCACCGTTTATAGAATGTATTCTGTTAATTTATTTAGAGCATCTGATCTGTGATAATGAGGCAGTAAAAGAAAACTCCCGAAAAAACTGATGCTTTTGTTTTAACTGCTTATCGTCTTTATTTTTATGAAAGCAGAATATTCTAAATAATTACAAAAAGCTTAATTAAATTTAAAACACTGCTCATATTTATGCCAAAATGTAATTAATATATTGAATGTATCGTGTTTACCTACTTTATAAATCCTGGATTAAAGTTTCCTTTGTTCTTAGCAAAACTAAAACAGAGGTAGTACTTCACAAAACACGTTAAGCTTTACAATTACGACCATACAACAATTTTCCTCTCGAATATTCTCGAGATATTTTCAGCGTTCGACATAAATTTTGGACCATATCATTGCTCGCTGGGCTGTTTCACTTTGCGGCAAATATTGCTCCTTACGGCTGAAGATTTCTTTTTTTGTTCAACGTCATTGTTGCATATTTTTTTCCGAGTCGGCCACAAGGTTACGAGGTGCGAACACTTAAGCAGGTTTTTTTTTGTAAACCTTTGATGTTTGTAAAGCAACCATGCTCCTTTGCAATGTGCAGTTCAGTTGATAATGGCTCGCTGTTTTGCTGCGCCGTGCTTACTGCACCGCAGTAATTGGGCGCAGAGCTGCCGTGCTGCTGGTACAGCCTTGCACCGCCACCGCCGTGCTGCTGTAAATTAATTGGCTAGCGCTCTCTCTCTCCCCCTTTGTCTCGTCGTTTCAGAGGTGTGCGAGGGGCCGTTCATGGGACGGCTCGGAGCGGACTCATTTAGCGCTTCCTCGGCCCTCTCTTCAAGCCACGCGCCCAACTTCGCCAGGCTCAATCGACGCGAAGGTGAATGCGCGCATGCATTGTATAGCACCGTTGGAATGACACTTTCTGAGCTACAAAAACAACAACAACAACCTGGGGACGTATCATGGAAATAACAATAGCTCATGGTACTGGAAGAGGGGAGAACCACATTGGAAATCCATCGTCCTGAGTGGTGTATTCAGGGCCGGATTAAAGCACGGGGCTTTAGGGGTTGCAACCCAGGGGCCTCTGCCAGCTGGAGGGCCTTCAGAGATTTAAGTGAAAAGTTATTTCACTTGTGAATGCTGAATTCTATTTGTTGTTAGCCTTGTAAGAATAAATGGTATTTTTCTTTAACTTTGTTTTCCTTTTGAAACATATTACTGGGGGCCTCACAGTACCTGTAGCCCAGGGGCCTACAACAGCTTAATCCGGCCCTGGGTGTATTGTTATGCAACAGGCAACAAAACGGGACTTTAATGTATTGGGAAGACTTACGGACTATCCAGGACAACTGCCTCAAAAGGAGGATGTTCCTTGGAACATCAGTACACGTGGCAATCCAACTCGCACAAAACAACCCCACTGAAAGATGACGATGCCAGGAAATTACACGCACTGCTATGCTCTGACTGAGATGTGAGGGCATTATTACATTTGTGGCTGCAGAGTTTAAGACGTGGTACGTCAGCTGTATACAGTATTAACATCTATATTCTTGGTTCTTTCGGTAAAGTCACGTAGAAGGGAAACAATAAAATAATAAAAATAATAAACAATAAAATTCTCACGACGTTTCGACTGCAACACAAGCAATCATCATCAGGTGTGATTGCTTGTGTTGCAGTCATCAGGTGTGATTGCTTGTGTTGCAGTCGAAACGTCGTGAGAATTTTATTGTTTTATATTTGTATTATTTTATTGTTTCCCTTCTACATGACTTTACCGAAAGAACCAGGAATATAAATCCCTGCAGTCACGAAAGCTTTAAATCAGTATTAACATCGGTTGGGTATGCACATATACATGTGGGAAAGTCCCATCGTGTGCAAATGGTTTTCAAAGACACAAGACAATTGTGGCCTCTCTACTCCCACCCCTTACACTGCGTCTTCATTCCTACATTTCGTAAGCGCAATAAAGACTGAAGCAAGGATGAGGGTTGTAGCATCATTGACATTGGCCATGATGACCTCTTGACCTTGAACGATGAACACTCTAAAATAATCTTCGAATTATGGTTAAAATATCCTTAACCATAGATGCTACCATTCTGCTAGACATGTATGGCAATCCTTTGCTAATGCAGTATATTAATACAAGAATCTATTGAAATTAATAGTAATTCACACATTTAGAAAAAAAATAACGACTCTGCGTGTCATTATCTGCCCATAAGGATTTTTAGGTTTTTACAATTACACAAAGGTACCCGAGGTTCAATAATTCGAGAAAATGCCGGTGCTGTAGACAGCGCAACGAACATGACAAATCGCGAGGACATTCTAGAGAGAGAAAAAAAATCTATTAAGTATTAATGTCTATACAGGGTTGCTTACTCTTTAGAGTTTCGAGTTTCCAATAGGAGCAAGGTGCTTTCATCTGAGGCCTTTCACCACCTATGGAAGTTGATGGAGAGGAATATTCTGTAAGACTCCTGCCCCCCCGAAAAGGTCACAAGGTCACATCGTTAGCAGCCGAGAGGGTGAATAGATGCACATCTGAACCCCTTCATGTCATCGGATGCACTGTGTGGGTTGCAATCTGTATTGATGCCCGACTGAGTTCACCGATGCTTTTGGACTAGACCTTGAGGCAATGTCCATTCCTGACACTTTGCCAGTTTTTCTTGCTAGTGGCCAGAGAGAAAAAGTTAAACAGATAAATAAATATACAATCTGTGAAAAATATTTTTCTTGGCTGTGGTGACTCAAATTCGGTCACGGTGATGGCAATGTGTTATCAGTCTTAAGGTGAGTGTGCCCTTGGGTTTTTTTTGTGGGTTTGTTTCCCCTCCGCCCCCCCCCCCAAAGCAATTTTGAAACCTACAGCCCTGATTTGGTGGACTGTATATGTTGTAGGCTGTATAAACTAACTGTTGACATGATCCTTCAACTGTTTGCTTGTGGGTTCAATAAATATTGTTGTTTGTGTCTCTCAGTGCCAACTGTGCCTTTGCATTTACAATATGCATTTGCAAAATTCGAAGTGAGTTAAGGCACAAAGTGGACATTTTTTTCCGCTAAGGATTGTGTTGTGAGCAGGAATCCCCAGTGCCACTTGGCATGAATAGTATACATGCACGAAAAAGGCAGACTAATGCACGGTCCTTGGATTACCATCTATTAAAAATTAAGCACTAGAACTCTGCCCCTTTTCATCCAAATGTATGGCAACACGTTTTGATTCGCGTAAACAATAAAATAAACATGCATTATTGTATACATTGTGGACACATGCTGCAGCATGGAGTAAGACGCATGAGTCTCAATATTGTCGTGGGTATCTCTCTCCATGTGCCATGTCCTATCTCAAAGACGAGAGCGATCATGGCCGTACATTTAGCTCTGTCCATTATCTTACTAAGGAATTTTGCATTATATATTGTACTCCCAGTTGTATCCATTTGTTCAAATTGTTCATGTAACTTAATTTGCTGTCTACCCTGGCTTCTTATACCTAGAATTTTCCCAGTAAAAACATTATTTTCAGTCTTCTGTTTTCTCATTACATGTCCAATTTTTTTTACTTGCATTTCTCTTATTGTTCATATAAATGTTCTGGTTGTGAACCCTGCTGCTATCCGTAATACATTTATGTTACTCAGCTTGTCTGTCCATGATTAAAAAAAAATCATTCTTTAAAAAATACACGTTTCTGTTGGGCATCATTCCATCTATAAAATGCCGCACATAATGCAGCACACGTTGTTGTGGGCGAATGTTGGGTCTGCGCTGATGGACGTGCACTGTTGCTCATTCGCATGCGTATGCACTAATGGGCGTGCATATGTGTTTTGATCAACGTTCTGTAAATTTGTCAACAAATATTAACGGCATGCAAGTTTGCACGGAGGCATAATTTGACAAGGCTGGGGTTAGGCGCCGGTAATGACATAGTGACCTGGGAACCTTCATTGCATCTTATTGCATGCTTATTGTATGTTTCGCAGAACACAACTAACCCTGATGGCAGTTTACATAAATTAGAGATTTTTGCCCGCTGTTCATTTTAAGCATTCTATAAAATAGGTTTTTAAAAATGTGTATTTTCCCAGTTGAAATACATGTCCCATACACAATCATGCATTCAGCAATGTAAGCAGCCACAAGCACAGATTCCTCTCCCTAATTGATGTATCCGACACCCGCGAGAGGATCATTTAACAACGGCTAATAATCTCCGCAGTAAATAAAATTAATCGATTTGTATTTTAAAGGAGAAGAAAATAACAACCACAAATTCATTACAGGCCGGGACACAAACAATTCTGCAAACATAACACACACTACACATGAAGAGCTGTCAAAGTTTTGAGACACTTCAGTGTATTATTAATCATTACATATGCATACATTTACTGAACGTATATACATACATAATTTGTTCACTATACTTAGGTCACAGAACTGTAATAATGTGTTATTAGTTGTGGTGTAACGATTCGTCGATGAATATGAATTCTGAAGTCGATGACGTACACGTGGAGTTGTGTGTTTAACAATCGATATTTTTTATTGGTGACAAAAGCAGCCACCACATGTTGGCATGTTGCTAATGGAAGGGCCGATTGCCGGTGGTCGGGACAGCGGCGAGGGAGAGAACATGCTCGACCGAGAGTACAACCACTGGAGATGGAATCTTGATTTGAAGCTTTCGTGATTGCAGGAATCCATACTCTTTGGTTCTTTCGGTAAAATCACGTAGGTATAAAACAGTCTGCATCAGCAGCAGACCATGCTTTCCCACCTGATGACGGACGCTTGTGTTGCACCCGAAACGTCGTGATTTATTTTATTTTATACCTACGTGACTTTACCGAAAGAATCAGAGAGTACTGGAGATGGAGCGATGATATCGGCTCGTGTGCAAGGAGCAGGGAGGGAATGTGGCATCACAGAACTGTAATGGGATGGTGAAACCACGTGGGAGGCCTTCATCCAGCAGTGGCTAGATAATGGCTAATGATAATGATGATTGTGATTCATACTCTTTGTTTTTTTCGGTAAAGTCACGTAGGTAAAACATTAAAATAATTAAATTACGACGTTTCGGGCGCAACACAAGCATCCTTCTCCAGGTGGGGACAACTTAGCGAAAGCACAACCGCTTAAGTGTGTCTCAGAGGTGGCTGTGTTGCGCCCGAAACGTCGTGATTTAATTTATTTAAATTTTTTACCTACGTGACTTTACCGAAAAAACTAAAGAGTATGAATCCTTGCAGTCACGAAAACTTAAAATCTAGAATTGATGATTGTGATGACCGCAATGCAGGAGTTATATATGATAACTTTTGGTCCCTAAGCATTTTGGAAAATAAACAGTTAAATAGTAATGCCAGAAAGCAGTGATTTGACATTGTTACCACGACGTAGATTTTCACCGTTGTGTGCGATAGCTTTCTGGGAACCATAAACAAAACATCGGAACGCTCTGATATTGTTCCTTGCTTGATTAGGCACATCCAGCTTTGCAAACAAATCACGGAGGATGCAACCCAATTTATTAAAAACTTGAAGATGTATTCAGCACTCTGTGTGCTTTGCCAATGCGAGGGCATATGCGTGATTCGTGTGTGTGTTTAAGAGGGGAGGGCGGTAGTGTAGCGGTTAGCGCAACGTGCAACAAACCCGGCGACCCAAATTCGATTCCCTCTCACGGCCATCTCCAGTGATGATTATCTAAACCGGTCCTGAGCCTCCCGTAAGTCGACTCAGCCTTAAATGAGTACCGAGCGCAGGGAGCAAACATCGCTACAAGGGAGACAAAGGCGGCCGGGCGTGGTGCTGACCACCACCCACTCGTGTGCCATACCGGCC